AGTGGGATCAACCACCAAAATCCTCAAATCTGTGCATTGATAATTGTTTACACTCTTAATTCTCTTATTTTTTTTGGAAGATAACTATGTTTCTCATGAAACTTCAATCAGAGCAATATGTTTGGAAAGAGGCCACATTAAAATGCTCAAAAGTGTTACTAAAAAATGTTACATAAACAGCATATACTTAGAAGACAAAATAAAATATTTACTCTAAAATTTGTATGCTTTAAAATAATAGAGTCAGTAGAGCTTTATAAAAAATGACAGCTTCCTAGTTTTTGATTGAAGAATAAAAAGATAACACTGGCTATACTAGATGATGGAGAGACTCAGAGGTAGTCATGGAATCAGATGGCAAGAAGAATGATCCCTTTGGAACAAATAATCTCATTGCTGGTGTTTATCGAACAATCTACCATGGCATATTTTTCTCTTTCATTATTTCTTCTTTATCTCTACCAAAGCTGTATGTTCTCAAATTAAGGCTACATGAGTAGCTGCATGGCATCCAGCAGTTCAGAGTAAGCAGGTGTAAAGGGACAGACGTAAAATAGGAGTCTAACTTTAAAAATGGAAAATATAACTTTAGCTCTCGTTGTCTTAGCTGACAAAGTAACTCTAGGCTAATGACTAAAGAAATGGTTTTTCACTACATATGTGGGGTTTAAAAACATGATTCAACTAACAGGCAAACACATTCTACCCTCACCAGGTAAGAAAGTCATGATTATATATGACCAGTGCTGGATCATATATAGGCTACCCTGAAGTTATACTCATTAATTAAAATAATTAATGAATATTATGACTTTAGCATAAATTGAATATTTTGCCTGATGATATCAAACAGACTACATTTTAGTCCAAATCTTTAGTTCTTCTGGATTTACATTAATCCCTTTGTTCCCTTTTCACATATGATTTGCCAAAGTGCCAGTGGACTAGGTTCTGGTTAACTGAAGTACTACTGTATACAATGAAATAAAATAGTATTTACTATATTACATATTTAGTTTCTGTTATATTTAAAGTTATACTTAATAACATTCTTATTTTAAAAAATTATTTCTGTGAGTACATAATATGTATATATATTTATGGGGCACATGAGATTTTTTTTGATACAGGCAAGCAATGTGAAATAAGCATGTCACGGAGAAGGAAGTATCCATCCCCTCAAGCACTTATCCTTCAAGTTACAAACAATCCAATTAAATATTTTAAGTTATTCTAAATGTATAATTAAGTTATTATTTACTATGGTCACCATATTGTGCTACCAATTTGTAGTCTTCTTTATTCTTTCTAACTATATGTTTACCGATTACACATTTCACCCTCACCCAAGACCCCATTACGCTTCCTAGTCTCAGGTACCCTTCCTAGTCTCCTGTATTCTCTATGCCCATGAGTTCAATTGCTTTGATTTTTAGATCCCAAAAATAAGTGAGACCATGCCATGTTTGTCTTTCTGTGCGTGGTTTATTTCACTTAACATAATGATCACCAGCTCCATCCATGTTGTTGCAAATGACTGGATTTCTTTGTTTTTGATGTCTGAATAGCATACCAATGTGTGTATGTATGACATTAAAAAAAAACCTATTCGTCTGTTGATAGACATTTAGGTTGCTTTCAAATCTTGGCTAATGTGAACAGTGCTGCAACAAACATATGAGTGCTACAAGTACAGAAATCTTGCTGATACACTGATTTCCTTTCTTTTAGATATATACCCAGTAGTAGGATCGCTAGATAATATGATAGCTCAATTTTTAGTTTTTTGAGAAAACTTCAAACTGTCCTCCACAGTGATTGTACTAATTTACAATCCCAACAACCATATATAAGGGTTCTTTTTTCTCTGCATCCTCCCCAGCATTTGTTATTGCTTGCGATTTAGATATAAGACATTTTAAATGCAGTGAGATAATATCTCATTGTAGTTTTGATTTGCATTTCTCTGCTAATCAATGACATTCACCACCTTATCATATGCTTGTTTGCAATTTGTATGTCTTGTTTTGAGAAATGTCTATTGAAGTCTTTTGCTCATTTTTTATTGGCTTATTAGATTTTCTTCCTATAGAGTTGTTTGAGCTCTTTACATATTGCGATTATTAATCTCTTTTCACATGGGTAGTTTGCAAATATTTTCTCCCATTCTGTGAGTTATTATTCACTTTGTTGATTGTATCTTTTGTTGTGCAGAAGCTGTCAACTTGATGTTATCTCACTTGTCCATTTTTTTCTTTGGTTGCCTAAGTTTATTGTGTATGGCTCAAGAATTCTTTTCCCGGACCAATATCCTGGAGATTTTCTGCAATGTTTTCTTATAGTAGTCTTCTACTTTGGGGTCTTAGAGTTAAGTCTTTAATCCATTTTCATTTGATTTTTGTATATGGCAAGAGATAGGGGTTTAGTTTCATTCTTCTGAATATAAGGATCCAGTTTTCCCAGCACCATTTATTGAAGAGACTGGTATATTTTCATCTAACCCCAGTGTGTGTTCCTGGCACCTTTGTCAAAAATAAATTCACTGTAAGGGTGTGGATTTCTTTCTGGGTTCTCTGTTCTGTTCCATTTGTCTATGTGTCTGTTTTCATGCCAGTACCAGCTGTTTTGGTTACTATAGCTTTGTGGTATTATGTGAGGGCAAGTAATGTGATTCCTCAAGTTTTGTTCTTTTGCTCAGAATAGCTTAGGCTATTCTGGGTGTTTTGTGGTTCCATATTAATTTTAGAATTTTTTTTCTAAATCTGTGAATAATGTCATTGGTATTTTGATAGGGATTGCATTAAATGTATAGATTGCTTATGGTAGCATGAACATTTTACCAACATTCATTAGTCTAATCCATGAACATGGAATATTTTTTCTTTTTTTTATGCTCTTGAATTTCTTTCATCAGTGTTTTTAGTTTTCATTATAGAGACCTTTACTTCTTTGGTTAATTACTAGGTAATTAATTTTATTTGTGGCTATTGTAAATAGGATTGAATTTATTTTCTTTTTACATTGGTCACTGTTGGTGTATAAAAATGCTACTAATTTTTGTATGTTGATTTTGTATCCTGCAATTTTACTGAATATTTTTATCACTTCTAATAGTTTTCTTGTGGAGTTGTTTTTTTCAAATATAAGATTATACTATCTTCAAACAAGAATAATTTGACTTCTTCCTTCCCAATTTGGATTCTTTTATGTTTTTCTTATGTCTGATTGCTCTAGCTAGGACTTCTAGTATTATGTTGAATACAAGTGCTGACAATGGGCATTCCTGTCATGTTCTATATTTAGAGGAAAGGCTTTCAATTTTTCACCATTCATTATGATACTATCTAAAGCTCTTTCATATATGACTTCGATTATGCTAAGGAAAGTTTCTTCTATCCCCAGTTGTTTCAGGGTTTTTATCATGTAAGAATGTTGAATTTTATCAAATGGTTTTTCAGCATCAATTGAAATGATCATGCAGTTTTCATCGTTTATTCTGTTGACATATCACATGGATTTGTTTATATTGAAATATCCTTGCATCTCAAGGATAAATCTCACTTGGTCACAATGAATAATCTTTCTAATGTATTGTGGAATTTGGTTTGCTAGTATTTTGTTGAAGATTTTTGCATCAAGATTCATCAGAGATATTGGCCTGTAGATTTATCTTTTTATTGTGTCAGTCTAGTTTTGGAAACAGGGTAATACTGTCCTCATAGAATGAGTTTGGTATTACTCCCTCCTCCTGCATTTATTGAAGTAGGTTGAATAAGATTGACATTAATTATTTAAATGTTTGGTTGCATTCAGCAGTGAAGGCATAGTGTCCTGGGCTTTTTTTTTTTTTTTTTTAACTGGAAGACCTTTATTATGGTTTCAGTCTCAATACTTGCTATTGGTCTGTTCAGGTTTTGGATTTCTTTTCATTTCAATCTTGGTAGATTGTATGTATATAGGAATTTTTCTATTTCTTCTACGTTTTCCAAATTATTAGCATAAAGTTGCTCACAGTAGTCACTAATGATCCTTTGAATTTCTGCAGTATCAATTATAATGTCTCCCTTTTCATTTTTGATTTTATTTATTTAGATCTTCTCTCTTTTTTCCTTATTCTGAATAAAGGTTCTCAGTTTTGTTTAACTTTTCCAAAAAACCACCATTTTGTTTAATCAATCTTTTTCATTGTTTTTTTCATTTCCATTTCATTTATTTGTGCTCTGATCTTTATTATCTCTTCTACTAACTTTGGTTTGATTTGCTCTTACCTTTCTATTTTTTTTAAGGTGTATTATTACATTATTCATCTGCAGATTTTCCTCTTTTTTGATGTAGGCACTTATAGCCATAAACTTTCCTCCTGGTACTGCTTTTGCTGAATTCCATAGGTTTTAGTATATTGTGTTTCCATTATGATTTGTTTCAAGAAATTGTTCAATTTTCTTCATTATTCACTGGTCAATCAGAAGCATACTGTTTAATTTCCATTTATTTATATAGGTTTAAAAGTTCTTGTTATTTATTTCTAGTTGTATTTCATTGTAGTCAGAGAAAATGCTTGATATTATTTAAATTTTTTTTGAATGTTTTCAGACATATTTTGTGACCTAACATATGATCTATCCCTGAGAATGATCCATGTGCTAAGGAAAAGAACGTGTATTCTATAGCTGTTAGATGACATTTTCTGTAAATATCTATTAGGTCCATTTGGTCTATAAGAGTCCAGACTAAATCTGATGTTTCTTTGTTGATTTTCTGTCTGGAAGATCTGTCCAATGCTGAAAGTGTGGTGAAGTCTCCAGCTATTATTGTATTGGGACCTATCCCTCCCTTTAGCTCTAATAATATTTGCTTTATATTTCCATGTGCTTCAGTGTACATATATATTGAAAATTACTATATTATCTTGTGAAATTGACCCCATTATCATTATATAGCAAACTTCTTTGTCTCTTCTCATAGTTTTTGTCTTGAAATCTAATTTGTCTGATATAAGTATAATGACCCTTGCTCTTCTTTGGTTTCCATTGGCCTGGAATATTTTTCCATCCTTTTATTATCAGTCTACATGTGCCTTTTTAGGTGGAGTGTTTCTGGTCAGCAGATCAGTGGGTCTTGTTTCTTTAGCCATATAGCTAGTTTATGTGTTTTGATTGGAGAGTTCAGTCTATTTACATTCAGTATTACTATTGGTAAGTAAAGACCTACTCCTGCCATTTTTCTTATTTGTTTTTTAGTTGTTTATGGTCTTCTCTTCCTTTCTTCTTTCCTTCCTGTCTTCCTCTAGTGAAGGTAATTTTCTCTGGTGATATGACTAAGTTTCTTTCTTTTTATTTTTGATGTATCCATTGTATGCTTTTTGGTTTGGAGGTTACCATGAGGCTTGCAAATACTAACTTACATCCCATTATTTTAGCATGATAACAACTTAATACTATTTGTATAAACAAACAAAAAGAAAGAAAACTAATAAAAACTCTGTGCCTGAACTTAGTTCCCTTGCTTTTTTTTTTATATATATACTTTAAGTTCCAGGGCACACATGCAGATCTTGCAGGATTGTTACATAGTTATGCACATGCCATGGTGGTTTGCAGCATCCATCCCCATGTCACCTACATTAGGCATTTCTCCTAATGTTATCCCTCCCCAATCTCCCCACTCCCTGCTATCCCTCCCCTAGCCCTTCTGACCCCCAAAACAGACCCCCGTGTGTGATATTTCCCTCCCTGTGTCCATGTGTTCTCATTGTTCAACACCCACTTATGAGTGAGAACATGCGGTGTTTGGTTTTCTGTTCTTGTGTTAGTCTGCTGAGAATGATGGTTTCCAGCTTCGTCCATGTCCCTGCAAAGGACGTGAACTCATCCTTTTTAATGGCTGCACAGTATTCCGTGGTGTATGTGTGCCACATTTTCTTTATCCAGTCTATCGTTGATGGGCATTTGGGTTGGTTCCAAGTCTTTGCTATTGTAAACAGTGCCACAATGAACATATATGTGCATATGTCTTTATAATAGAACAATTTATAATCCTTTGGGTATATACCCAGTAATGGGATTGCTGAGTAAAATGGAATTTCTATTTCTAGGCCCTTGAGGAATCCCACACTGTCTTTCACAATAGTTGAACTAATTTATTCTCCAACCAACAGTGTAAAAGTGTTCCTACTTCTCCACATCCTCTCCAGTATCTGTCTCCAGATTTTTTAATGATGGCCATTCTAACTGGCATGAGATGGTATCTCAATGTGGTGTTGATTTGCATTTCTCTAATGACCACTGATGATGAGCATTTTTCCATATGTTTGTTGGCCTCATAAATGTTTTCTTTTGAAAAGTGCCTGTTCATATCCTTTGTCCACTTTTTGATGGGGTTATTTTTTTCTTGTAAATTTGTTTTAGTTCTTTGTAGATTCTGGATATTAGCCCTTTGTCAGATGGGTAGCTTGCAAAAAGTTTTTTTCCATTCTGTTGGTTGCTGGTTCACTCTAATGATTGTTTCTTTGGCCGTGCAGAAGCTCCTAAGTTTAATTAGATCCCATCTATCTATTTTGGCTTTTGTTGCCATTGCTTTTGGTGTTTTAGTCCTGAAGTCCTTGCCTATGCCTATGTCCTGAATGGTATTGTCTAGGTTTTCTTCTAGGGTTTTTATGGTGTTAGGTCTTATGTCTAAATCTTTAATCCATCTGGAGTTAATTTTTGTATCAGGTGTAAGGAGGGGGTCCAGTTTCAGCTTTCTGCACATGGCTAACCAGTTTTCCCATTACCATTTATTGTATGACTATGTCTTGAAAAGTTGTTGTAGTTATTTTTTTATGGCTTCATCTTTTTGCTTTTCTACTTAAGATAAAATTAGTTTCCATGCCACAGCTACAGTTTTATAATATTCTGTATTTTTCTGTGTACTTACTATTATCATTGAATTTTATGTTTTCAAGTGATTATTTATTGCTTATTTATGTCCTTTTCTTTTTGATTGAAGCACACCCTGTAGCATTTCTTATAGGCCCAGTCTGTTATTTCTGAAATTCCATAGCTATTGTTTGTCTCGGAAAATCTTTATTTCTCTTGCACGTTTGAAGGATATTTTTGCTGGATATACCTTTCTAGGGTAAAAGTTTTTTTTTTTTTTTTTTTCTTCAGCACTTTAAATATGTCATGTCACTCTCTCCTTGCCTGTGAGGTTTCCACTGAAAAGTCAGCTGCCAGATGTATTGGAGCTGCATTGTATGCCATTTGTTGCTTTTCTCTTGCTTTTAGAATCCTTTCTCCACTGCTAACCTTTAGGAGTAGGATTATTAAATGACTTGAGGTCGCCTTTTCTGGGTTGAATCTGCTTTATGTTCAATTTCTTTCTTGTACTTGGATAATTATATGTTTCTGTAGGTTTGAGAAGTTTTCTGTCATTATCCCTTTGAATTATTTTGCTACTGCTATCTCTTTCTCTGCCTCCTTGAAGGCTAGTAACTCTGAACTTTGCCTTTTTCAGGTTATTTTCTTGATCCTGTAGGTGTGCTTCATTCTTTTTTGCTTTTTTCTTTTGACTCTTCTGTTCATTTTCAAATAGCCTGTCTTCAATCTCAGTAATTCCTTCTGCTTGATCAATTCTGCTATTAAAGGAAGCTGATGCATTATGCAGTATGCCAATTGCATTGTTCAGCTTCAGAATTTCTGCATTATTCTCTATAATTATTTTAATCTCTTTGTTCAATTTATCTGATAGAAGTCTGCATTCCTTCTCTGTGTTATCTTGACCTTTTTTTTTTTTTTGAGTTTTCTCCACACAGCTATTTTGAATTATCTGTCTGCAAGGTCATATACCTCTGTTTCTCCAGTACTGCCTCATGGTTTTTATTTAGTTCGTTTGGTGCGGTCATGTTTTTTCTGGATGGTGGTAATGCTAGTAGATATTCTTCAGTGTCTGGGCACTGAAGAGTTAGACATTTATTGTAGTCTTCATTGTCTTATTTGTAGCCATTCTCCTTTGGAAGGCTTTCCAGACATTTGAAAGGATGTGGGTTTGTGATCTAAGCTATATCTGCTTTAGGGGACACTCCAATCCCATTAATGCTGTGATTCTTGCAGACTCGTAGTGGTGCTGCGTTTATGGTATTAGACACAATCTGAGAGATTTCTCTGGATTATCAGGCAGAGACTCTTGTTCTCTTGTCTTACTTTCTCCCAAACAAACAGAGTGTCTCTCTATCTTTTCTAACCCATGTAAAACTGGAGCTGCAGTGACAACAAGCACCCCTGTGGCCACCACCACCATGACCCTGCTGGGTCATACCTGAAGCCAGCACAGTGCTGGGCCTCATTCAAGACCCACTGTAACTATTCCCTGGCTACTTCCCATGCTTGCTCAAGGCTCTGCTGCTCTACAATCAGCATGTGGCAAAGCCAGCCAGGCCTACATTCTTCCCTTCAGGGCAGTGAGGTCCCCCAGCCCGTAGGTGGGTCTAGAAGTACTGTTTGGTAGTCAGCGACTAGTGTCAAAAACCTTAAAAGTCTACCTAATGTTTTATTGTATTGCAGTTGAGCTGACAAACCACAAGACACAGTTCTTCGCACTGTTTTTCTCTCTTTCCAAATTCAGAGGAGCCTCTCCCCATAGCCACCACCACCTCAGGCCATGAGGTATACTGCCAGACTACCACTGATATTCCCTTATGACCCAAGATCTCTTAAGTCAACTTACTGTGAATGCTGCCTGCCCTGGAACTCACCCTTTAGATCAGTGGCCTCTCCTCTGATTCAGGTCAGGATCAGAAATGCCACCCAAGGGTCAAGTCTTACAGTTACAGACCCCAAGAGCTCACCTGGTGGTCTACCCCTCTCCACTTCTGTGGCCTGATATTGCTGAAATCCCACAGCTTTTGTTTGTGCTGGTATCTAAGATGCAAGACAAAGTTCCATTTACTACTCTCTCTGCTTTTCTCAAGCAGAAGGAGTTTTACACTATAGCCACCATAGCTGGTAATGCACTGAGCCTCACCTAAAGCCAGCCTGTCTCAGAGACTCACCAAGACCCTCAATGTAGTACCTGGGTATTGCTGCTGGTTATGCAGGGCCTGAGGGCTCTTCAGTTAGCAGGTGATGAATGCTGGTAGGACTAGGTCCTTTCCTTCAAGGCAACAGTTTCCCTTATGGCCCAGGGTGTGTCTAGAAATGTCATCTGGAAGTTAATGCCTGGAATGGGGGCCTCATGACTCTGACCAGTGCCCTATCCTTCTGTGGCTCAGTGGGAAACCTAGATGCAAGACAAAGTCTTTCCCACCCTTCCTTCTCCTCTCTTCAAGCGGAAGGAAGGGGTGCCTTTCAGTGTTGAAAGCCATGCAGCCTGGGGTTAGGGTAGGGATGATTGCAGCAGTCTTCTATTCATCTTGCTTCTATCTTAATAGTACTGATGTAATCATCTTTAGTCATTGAGTACAAGGTTTAAGTTTTCTACAAAATTTACATGATTATATTTTGTTTCATTATAACTTACTACATGTTAGATTAAGCAATGTCTTATTGAAAATATTTTTTTTCTCATAAGTAACCTTATAGAACATTCTTACAGATACTTTTTTTTTTGGACAGAGTCTTGCAGGCTTAGGTGCAGAGTAGTGCAATCATCCTGCCTCAACCTCCTGAGTAGCTGACACTACAGATGCATACCAACTCTTCTGGCTAATTTTTTATTTTTATTTTATAGAGACAGGGTCTCATTATGTTTCTCAGGCTGATCTTTAACTTCTGCATTCAAGTAATCCTTCTGCCTCAGCCTCCCAAACTTCTGTGATTATAGATGTGAACCACTGTGCCTAGCCCAAAAAATAATTTTTAAAACTATCAGTTTACAAGAAATTTTAATAATATTTAATAGTTTTCAGATTTATTTTTCTTTAATATATATTTTAAATGGCACAAACTATATTTTGTATTGGGAATAGTATTAAAATTATTAGAATAATTTTACTGTTCTTTTATGATGTATTACAAATAAAATGTAAATTAGAATGCAATTAAAATAAATTCACAAGGATTTTATTGTTTTAAGCATACCAGTATCTTAAAATTTTTCAGGAAAGAATTGCTTTCAGTAAGATTTACCTTCTCAAGATTGAAGAGCATTTTATATTGAGTTAGCTGATATGCTATGAAACCAAGGCCAGGGCCCCTTGATAAAAAACAGTGACTGTTTGTTTGTTTGTTTTTGAGACGGAGTCATCTCACTCTCTACCTTCCAGGTTGGAGTGCAGTGGGGTGATCTTGGCTCAGTGCAACCTCCGCTTCCCGGGTTCAAGGGATTCTTCTGCCTCAGCCTCCCAAGTTGCTGGGATTACAGGCATATGCCACCACACCCGGCTAGTGGTTTTTTGTACTTTTAGTACAGATGGGGTTTCACCATGTTGGCCAGGCTGGTCTGGAACTCCCGACCTCAAATGATCCACCTGCCTCAGTCTCCCAAAGTGCTGGGATTACAGGTGTGAGCCACCGCCAGCCCAGCCTGTTGCTTTTTTACTAACTTATGACTTCTCTAGTATTCATCTAAAAAACAGAGACAGTACCTATACAAATCAACTTTATTTAATTATTTTAACAAATACTTTGATTTCATATAACCAAACTATTCTATACACATGGAAAAATGAATATGACAGGAATATGATTCTCAGGTGATTAAAAAAATAATATTCACTTTTGGCAAAATAAGCAAATATCTACTCATAAAGAGCAATGTGGAGAAAAGGAAATATGTTTGCAAATTATCCACAGTCATTTAAAATAGATAACAACTAAGTTGCCTTATACCCCAAATGTAAATGGGCCTTTATATTTTGAACAGTGAAGCCAATTACAGAAATTTGTTGGCATTCCTGTCATCTAGGAAGATCATTAAAATAATTTTAGTGATTTCATCTCTCACTTTTCTTCTTACTTATCATGTTCTTCCAGACATAGCCAATACTATAGCTTTTCTATCTAGAATTATTTATAAATTCATCACAATGACTGGTATGTAGGTACTGTTTTACCCTCTCAGAGAGTTCTTTCGTTACCTCATTAATTCATAATTCACACAGTTTTCCATGTGTACAGAACAGTTTGATATTATGCTTTCAAAATATTTGATTAAATAATTCTATAAGATAGATATGCATAGATATCGTCTCTGTTTCTTAGATGAATACTGGAGAAATCTTAAGCTAGTGAAAAACCAAGTCACTATTTTTTTTTTTCTGACTTTTAGGTTTGGGGGATACATGAGGAGGTTTCATATATAGGTAAATTATTTGTCACTGGGGTTTAGTGTACAAATGATCTCATCACCCAACTAGTAAGCACAGTACCTAATAGTATTTCAGTGCTCACCCTCCTCCACCCCTCCCCACTCACGTAGTCCCCAGTATCTATTGTTCTCATCTTCGTGTCTACATGTACTCAATATTTAGCTCCTACTTACAAGTGAGAACATGAGGTATTTGGATTTCTGTTCCTGTGCTAATTCACTTAGGATAGTGGCCTACAGCCACATTCATGTTACTGCAAAGGAAATGATTTTCTTTTTATGGCTATGTAGTATTCGATGATGTGTATATACATATATATATATATATATATATATATATATATGTATATAT